GGGGGGGAGGGGGGAGAGGTGAGAAATCGGTTATTCGAAAGACAAGATGAGTATGAATCATGGGGGAAGTATACTCAATAACCAAGGTGTCAAACACCAATGTTTAAGTTAATTATTGATGACTGAGGAGCTACAGGACTCGAGTTGTTAATTCACTACTCTCAACAAGAAGAATGTTGCAAAGCCCTTTCATAGTTGGATTTGGGAGTTTTAAATAAAAAATATCGACAAATTTCATTTACACTAAGCGAAAGTCAAACTGAATAATTATTTCATAAAAAATATCCTAAGATACTTCATTATTATCATGAAAATAACCTGATAAATAAAACATTTTACGATCTTATCTCATATATCTTTAAAAAAACTCCTCTTCGTTTAAAAATTGACAAAGATGCACATATATGAAGTATTGCATATACCGTCATATGATCGATTTCCCGTTTCATTCTTTTAGACCAATCAAATATTTCTTGCGCTCTTGTGTCCAATTCATGCTGGATATTTGTTTTCTTACGCAGCTCATTCAAAGTCTCATAATCATCTTTGATCCTCGAAATGCGCTCTAGAGGATATACTTTAATTCTATTCAAAGTCTAAAAAAAAATTAAATACTTAAGTAGAGGAACTATTGCAAAAGTGATTAAAAAACACATTTTACCTCTTTATCTTCGACAGATCTAACCGAATTTTCGAAATTCCGCATTTCCTCTGGTTTACCATACGAATCGATAAACTTCTTTTCGAATATTCGATACAAGTCGGAAGGCTAAATAGACATAAAAACCCACCATTCATTGCATGAAAGCAAGCAACTATTCCAAATTGACGTGACAATTCCTTTCTAAATCAAATAGAGCGTTAGCAGTAAGGAGGGTGGTAAAGACGCCAATGGTTGGATTAAAGCACTCGTCTGTCAAGTCGGGGTTCATGGGATAGATAAACATTTATTCACACCCAAAGGCGTTGATGGCAATTTACCTGACTCGATACAGTGAAGAAGCGGTAGAATGATAGCCTCCAGTAGGAGGGGGAGCAAGGGAAATCCCCCCACTCACATATGTTTTGAACACCCACTTTAATCGCCCCCCAGAGAGCTTTCTTTCATAAACAGCTCAAAATAGCTTTCTGGAAGAGAATTTGCATACACAAGGCCCACCCAACCCTTCACAGTCTAAGAAACCAATTGAAATTGCTTCTCAAGTCTAAATGTACTGCAAATGATAGTGAGTGATGCCTCGACAACGCGCGATTAGGCAATAATTTAAAGAACTGAGGGGACTAAAACTTGGGTTTGAGAAGAGCCGTCTAACGTCCAACTCTCGATGAGAAATGAGTGGTGGTTATGCCGTTTGAATCAATCTTTTAAATCGCCTACTCAATGTAGACTGTGCTTATTTTTTAGGGGGGTAAAAAAGAATGAGTTAGACTGCATAAAAAATCGTTCCATGAGAATGGCACTACATAACCCGGATGTTTGCTACGAATAATTGATGAATAGGAATGCTCCCAATATAAAATAAGACCTTGAATGGAATAACCAATCATAGCAAACAACCTCAATTATCAATAAAATAAGCTTTTGCACCAGTGAAGTTAACAGAAACTTTACAAACTAGGATGAAGGATAAACTTACTGACTGTTCTTGCTTGCTTTCAGGGTCTTCTTTTCGCGTCTATAAAGGATAATTGGGTAAAAGGCCTATTTATAAAAAAGGAATTAAAATTTTAAATAAACTAACGCCTGACGGTTCACGATCCGATTCCAATGCAGCCTAAAATAATCAAATGGATGTACGTACAAATATTGACAAATATCCACTCCCAATCCCAATACATTAATGGCATTTCTCACCATTTAATGGTAATAATAGCAATAATAGTAATAAGAAACACAAGTATTTATCTCCACAAATAACAATGAAAATAAGATCCAAATGCTGAAAGGCTTATAAAAGCTGAGAAAAGCCCTCAAAATCGTTGAAAACGAAGATAATCAATAAAGAAAAAATTACTCATAGAATATATTAAATAAACGGATAAGCAAAACAAATTCAAACCAAAGACGGTAATAGAACGTACCAGAAGAGCATTGACTTGATCCATAATCTCGGTTGCGTGTTTCAAAAGTTCTTCCAAAGGATTTTCTTTATGTTCAAGGGGAATAAAAGAATCCATAACATTCTGTATAAACTTATGGTCTCTCTGTAATAATACGATATATTCGCCAACACGTTTTTTTGTTATTTGAGCTTCCTAAAGGAAAAGTAAAATGATTGGAAGAAAATGAGACAGGGAGCTAATATTTTCACAATCATCTACCCTTATATCATTCATTTGAGAAAGTTTCCGTTTAATAGAATCAATTGTATTATCCTCTTTGCTTTCATTATGAGCATTCCTTAGAAGCCTATTTAAATCGGCAGCAGACTGAAATAACAGCAATTAAAATATTTATAAAATACCAGTTCTGGAATCCAAGATGACAGATTAATTCCTTCCAAATGACAAAGTCCCAACAAGCCGCTTTCCGATTTCGGAAAAATAGACTAATATAAACTTATGCATCTCTGTTAATGGCATGCGTACCTTCATTAGCCAGGCCAATTTTCGAGAAGCCAAATTATTTATCGGAATCATAGATATTAAAATCTCTTCAAAACGTTTTTGGAGTTTCTCGTTATTTAGAGCATCAGAAAAAGACGTTCCAAAAAAATCATAGAGCATTAGAAGAACATTTGCAAAATTCATACATTTCTTAACCGATTCGCCCATTTCCTTCATGGATGCATCCAATAATTCGGCGAAAGATAACCGTCCAGTTGCGCAGTGTCGAAGTAACGCCTGATAAGCATCTATGCAATTAGAAGACTTTGTATTGATGGCTTCCTTTACTAAATAGAAGTATAATAAATAAAACTTCACTGAATTGACATTTTTTATTTTAAAATGAGCGATCAACTTAAAAAAGGCCTTAGGCAGACTTGTAATTAAGAACAAAATATTTATTCTCATACCAATCTTCACATTCTCACTATCATACCAAGAGAACGGCATCCTGAACATCGTCTTGAAAGATGGAAT